AATAAAATAGATTTTTGTTCGAAGACTTGGCATTAAGATACCAGTTTCCCCTAGAATGAGCTACAGAGTCAACATACTTCCAATCAAAATCTCTGCAGGAAATTTTGAGAAAAATCAATATTCTAATTCTAAAATTTTTATGGAAATTCAATGGAACTAGAAAAGACAAAACAATTCTGAAGAAGAACAAAGTTCGAGAAATTACACTACCTGATTTGAAGACTTACTTTTATATAAAGCCACAGTGATCAAGACAGAGTGGTGTCAGAAAACAGGGTACCCATGATGGTTCCCTGGAGCTCACCCATACCCCCTCATGAGAGCCAGATGTTAACTTTTCAAGAGTTTTACAGATTGGTTGATGTTAAATTGGTTTGCTCAAAATTGTCTACTGGGAGAGTACTTAAAAAAACAAAAATCAGCAAATATTACAAATCAGGATTCTCCCACCCCCTCCTTCATAGACAATTCTTTTTTTTTTTTTTAAGCTGAGCCATCCTGCCACCTGTTGGCAGCTCAGCGGCAGCTCAGCTCGGGCCGTGAATCGAACTGGCGACCCTGTTGCTCAGAGCTTGCACTCTTCGGCAAACTCTTAACCAACTGAGCCACTCGGCCGGCCCCATAGACAATTCTTAAACATTTACCAGCACACCTCAACCTCTAGATCAAGGGAACAGAACAGAGAATTCAGGAATTGACCCACATATATTTGGGCAATTTATTTTCAACAAAGATACAAAGGCAATTTAATGAAGAAAAGACAGTCTTTCCTACAAATAATGCTGGATATCCATATGCAATAATAATAATAATAATAATAATAACAACAACTCAAAATAGATCATAGCCCAAGATGTAAAATGTGAAACTATAAAACAATATGAAAACGTAGGATGAAATCTTTGTGAGCTTCGACTGTGCAAATAAATATTTCTTAGATATGACACCAGATTGATAAATTAGACTTCACCAAAATTAAAAACTTCTGTTCATAAAAAAAACTGTTTTAAGAATGAAAAGAAAAGCCACAGACTGGGAGAAAATATTTACAAATCTCAGATCTGATAAAAGACTTGATGCACCATTCATAAAGGATCTTCAAAACTCAATGATAAGAAAGCAAGCAATCCGATTTTTAAAATGGGCAAAAGACACTTTGAAAAGTCACTTTGTGTGGCAATAAGTACATGAAAAGACATTCAACATCATTAACCACTAGGGAAATATAAATAAATGAAAACTACAACAAGATACCACTACACATCTAGTAGAATGGCTAAAATAATTCTTCTAAATATTATACCAAGTGCTGGTGAGGATGCAGAGCCACTGGAACTCTCACTCAAGCTGGTGGGAAGGCAAAACAGTGACGCAGCCACTTTAGAAAGCAGTTTAGCAGTTGTTGTTTTTTAATATTTTTTTATTGGGGAATTGGGGGAGGAGAACAGCTTTGGGGACTCGGGGAAGGGGAACAGACAAGTTGCTGTCCTTTTGTTCTTCAGTCTAGTTGTGGAGGATGTTGCTTCACTGGCCCGTGTTGGTATTATCATTGCGCTCTTCCCAGGTGAGGCAGATTGGTTCCCGGCCATTGGACGGCTGCTCACGCCGGCTGCAGGCCGCTCACTCTGGCTGCCCACCACTCACGGTAGCTTATGGCAGCCCACTGCAGCCCCACAGCAGCCTACACCATTGCCAGCGACTCACAGCAGCCCAGCTCCAGGTCGAGCTGTTGTTCACCATCCTAGCTGTAGAGGGCACAGCGTCACTGGCCCTCATGTGGGATCCAAACCAGGACCCTGCTGCTTAGAGCTGGTGTCCCAAGCCAACTCTTAACCAATGCGCCACTCAGCCAGGCCTAGCAGTTTCTAATAAAGTGCAACATACTCCTAACATACAACCTACCAATCCACTCACAGGTATTTACCCACGTGAAACAGAAACTCACACTTACCAAAAAACCTTCGTGTGGATTTTTAGAGCAACTTTATTCATATTTCCCCAAAATTGGTAAGTACCTAACATCCCTCAACTGGGGAATGGATACACAACTGTGAAATCTCCAAACGATGGAATCCTACTCAGTCTTTAAAAAAGCACGAACTACTAACACACAGCAACATGAATGAATCTGAAACGCATTGTGCTAAGTGAAAGAAGTCAGACTCAAAGGTACATGCTACGTGCTTCTGAGTATATATAACACTCTGAAAAAGCCAAAGTAAAGAGACAGAAAGCCAATCAGTGGTTACCAGGGGCTGGGGTGGGGGGAGGGGTGGATATTTGGAGCAATAGAATCTTGATTGTAAGTGATGGTTAAACCACCACATGTGTTTGTCAAAACAGGCAGAATTACAGGTATGTATTAATGCAGGTGAATTTTACCGTATATACATTATTTCTTAATGAAAAATAATAGGAAAGGATCACTTTGGTTGTTGGGTTGAGAACAGACTGGAGGGGCAGGGCTGGAAGCAAGGAGACCATTAGGAGCCCAGGTGAGAGATACAGTGGTTGGACTGATAGTGGCCATAGAACGTGACCCTTGTGGACACATTTTCAATGAAGGGGCAAAAGGAGGGACAGGCTGCAAGGGTGAGGAGTGGAAGTGAGCATGTGCAGACAGTGCTGGGCCCTGGATCACTGACGACTGTCTCAGGAAACCTGCTTGGACCTGCCCCACTAGATGAGCCCCAGCTCAGAGATGGGCCTGGGCCTAGGGTGACCAACCATCCCATTTTGCCCAGAAATTTTCCAGTTTTAACACTGAACATCCTGCATCCAGGGAAACCTCTCAGTCCCTGGCACACCATTACAACTGGTCACCTAAGCCTGGTCCCTGACCTGCCCTGCCAATGGGCTGTGCTCAGTTCAAGGCCCAGCCAGCCCCGCCTGCCACTCTGCAGTTCTGCCTTTGCTCTGGGCTTGGTGACCCTGCCTTCCATCCTATACAAGCCTCTGAGCTCCTTTCTGATACTCCCCACACACGAGGCGATGCAGGAATGCTTAAGAACAGAGCGACACTCTGCTGCCCTTTATGTCACCTTTTCTTCAGCCTCCAGTATGAAGGCAGTTAGATGACTCTTGATATCAGGAATAAATAAAAGAGGGGTCTTGTCACTCCCCTGCCAGGAAATCGGGAGCATTGGGCCGGGAACACACCTTTCCCTCTCATCTCACTTTTGAAATGACTCTCTTGAAACAGACTCTGAGGTTTTTGCTTCAGTCTTGTCCATCCTGATATCTCCACAGCTGTGGATATGGAAAAGCGCTCCCTCCTTCTTAGCACCTCTCCTTTGGTTGCCACCATACCCCCTCTCTTCTGGATCTTCTCCTGCCTTCTGTTAGGTGTTTCTCAACCTCCTTATTGCCTGATGAAGCATGTGCCTACCTCATACATGCTAGGGGAGCAGTCTAGGGTGACATTTGAGTGTCAGGACTTTGATATTAGGACCCGGGCTCTAATCCCAGCTTTGTCATTTTCTAGCAACACGATCTTTGTTTTGGCATGTTAACTCCTTCCGGGTTGTCCCTCTGTAAAATGGGTATGATGAATTCTACCTCATTGAATTGCTGTGAGAAGTAAATTAAATGAGATTATGTATGAAGGGGAAAAAACTCAGCACAATACTTGAAACAGAATAGGCAACAAATAGCTCCTGGTATATAAAATGTTCCCGATAGTAATGCTCAACAAATAGGGAAGTGGTTAATAAGTTAGGCTACACCATGATTTATTTATAGCATACTGTATGGCAAAGCCATTAAAAATAATGTCCTGAAGAATATTTAATGGCACAGAAAAATGTCCACAATATAATTTTAAGAGAAAAAAATCAGGCTATAAAACACAGGTCCCAAGTCTGTTCTTTTAAAAAGTATGCGTGTGAATGTGTGTGTCGTGCATGTGTATTTAGGAAAAAAAGAAGAAATATAGAAAATGTTGGTTGCTTTTTTCTTTTTTACTTATTCATGTAATTCTGTATTTTCAAGTTTACTCTAATGAACATGTATTACTCTCATAACAATAGATGTTATTTTAAAAATTCAGTCACCAATTTTTTCATTCAAGAGAGATTTTTGTAGCACACACTATGTGCCAAGTAATATTCAGGACTCGGAGATGTTGTAATGGAAAAGTCACCAGGCAGGTTTTTCTCAGGACACCATCTAGCCTTGCGTTTAAGTCTCCTTAATTGTTTTATGCACTAGCTTTGTCTTCACAAATAAACTGTTAATTCTTCAAGGGAAATAACCACGCGGTCCTATTCTCTGTAACCCTACGACATCACACTCCACACACACAGGAAGGGTTCAGTAATGCATTTCATTTCAGTGCCTGGGGGTTGATTAAAAAGTGACCAGTTACCTAAAATCTATTATAATAGGCAGAAAAGAAGAAGTACCTTCTTACTTGGGGCTATCTTCCCCCTTCCTCCCTTGTCCTGTGTGTGATGGAGCTGAACATTCAAGGCTGCACCTTCAGTGGGTTTTCCTGGAAATCCAGGAGGTTTTAACTGGCCTAGCCTGATGGGAGGGGAACTTCTCTCTCTCCATCCCCCATCCTAATACATATCAAACGTGCCTTTCCCACATTTAAGCAACTTGAGAGCATGGCAGCTGATTATGTCCTCTTAGATCGAGAGTTCTTGATTGTTTTTACACCATAGATCCTTGGGGGGGGGGGGTCTGGTGAAGCCGATGGACCTTTCTTAGAATAATGTTTTCAATGTGTAAAATAAATACACAGGATTAAAAAAAAAACTAAATATACTGAAATATAATTACCAAGGTATTATTTTTAAAATATACATATTATTGTACATAGTAATAAATTTGTTTCTTTGCACTGCATTAAAAAAATAAAACAATTACATTTGAAATAGTTGAGTTAAAGTTAAATTTTAATTTTTTAAAGACATATCCATATAAACACTGTGCTTACCTTGAATAAGAACATAAAATGGTAGAATGGTCTTTAACAAGATAATACACACATCCTGTTGGAAATCCAATTGACCTTGATATATTTTTATGGAAACAATGTTGAAAATCCAATCCTCAAAGGTATGAGTGTTGAAAATAGAACTAAAGCTTCCACAGCTCCTTCACAAAGTAAAGGTTAAGTGTCTCCGAGAGAGCACCAAAACTCTCCAAGGCTTTTTAGTGAAACTCCAGTTATAGTGTTTTTTTGGTCCTAAGATCAATGAATTCATCTTTGACTAGATCAACACCTTGATACAGTTTATATAAGAAAGAAAAAGAATGCAAGTCTAGGGTTCAACTTTTTTACCATTGAGATAAAAAGCACTTTTGCAAGAGTTCTAAAGTGTTTCCAGGTGTTTGTAGATTATTCTTTTCAAATAAATTGACAGGATTTTGTAACTCAATTCCATTAAGGTAAAAAAAGCACTTCCTTCAGCATTTGAAAGTTTGCAAAGATATCAGCCTCTTATCAACAGCTTAACCAAGAAAGCTCATAATGTTTTCACAAGCATTTGCAATGGTGATATCATGGCCTTGAATTGAGTCATTCATGTGGTTAAAAATATCTGCCAGGTAACCCACAGACAAAATTCTTTCTTTCAAAGAGTTCCAAAAATGGGTTTTCTTTTTCTTTTGGAAAAAGTGAAACTTTCCTCTTGAATGTCAGTGAGCTTCTCTGTGGTAGAGAAGCCCTTGGTTTTCTGCTACCATTTCTTGACAAAACCTATAAAAATACTATGACTCAGGGACCGGCTTTTGATTAAAGTTGATGACTCTAAGACCATTGAAAAAACTTCTCTCAGTATATTTGGAAAAGCCAGAATATGCCTGTGTGAAATGCAGCAGTGAAAACTACATGAAATGCTCATGTTGAAACTTCAAGAATGCTTCCAGAAAAGGTTTTCATGAAATGGCAAGTGCACATTTTTGAACTGTCCTAGCTTTTTCAAATTGAGCTTTCTTCTCCACATACACACAAAACACTTCATTTTCTTTGTATGTATTTTCTGGATGGACAGATGTAAAATACTCTTTCAGTCTTCCTGACTTCAAAATTTTATGTTCCATCGTTTCATTAATGTGAATGTAACCAGATATGCAGTTTTCATCAGACCTTCCTTTTCTTCACCAGCTCAAGACAAATTGGATCTGTAAAAGATAAATAATAGATCAAGTTAAAATAAAATGCTATGTTCCATTGCTATTCTTTGAAATGTAGTATTTTGTTTGTGGTGCCTAAGTAATTTGTTTGATAAATTTACATGGAAGGGAATAATTTGTATGTTAATTAAGTAACGTATAAAATATTTATTAAATTTTATGACAAATAAGTAAAACAAGGCAGGTTTTATGATTAGCCAAAAATTTTGAACTATTAACATATTTTAACCTTTGTACAGATGGGTGTTACAACAGTTGCTCGGGAATACTTTCTTCCTTGGAATTTAGCTATTGCTTCATGACTCTCCATGGTTTTCTAGAAACAATAGTTCTCATTTCTCATATTGTCACTGTTTGCCACAACGGTATTTTTTTTTGAATGTGTAGCATTTCACAGGATAATAGTACAAGAACAATGCATGAATAACATACTGTGCGTGCAAGACTTTACTTCATAACAGACATGTAAAAAGGGAAAAAGAAGTCAAAAACATGATTATTGCACAGAGCTTACCGTTCTGTGCGCAATCCATGTCACTGTGTAATCTGTTAGCAGTCCCAAGAAGTTACTTTAAATATCATACTTGGACAGTTAGCTCAGCCATCAGACATCTTTGAACCCATATGTGTCACCAAAGGCTGCACTGCGGATGGAGAGTGAAAAAAACTCACATTAGAGCAACTCAGATTTGCAAAATCTTAGCAAACTATGAAAATGATGCAGTTCCTGTGTATTGATCCACAAATGATGACAGTTAAGGAATGTTGAAATGCCTGGGTTACCCCCATGAGGACGTTCAAATTCACTGCTCAGTGGCCAACCTTACCCAAGCAGAGTTGCCAGACAGCAGCCAGCTACATCTCAGGAGCGTCTGTGGGGGAGACTGAGCCTATGCTTCTAGCAGCCAGCCTAACAGCTTCCGTACTTTCAAAACAGTGGTGGGCGTAAATGACATTTCCAGATGTCTATAACAACTGTAATATGATATGAAAATATTTGTGATTGCTAGTGATGACAAAATCACAGGTCATGTTAACACTACTGGTTTGTTGTCACATTCGTAATTGAAGGAAATGCTATATTTCAGACAGAGGATAGTAAAAATGAAGCTGTAATTTTTCCCTACCCAAGTTCATGGACCCTCTGACTTCCATTCCACAGATCCAATGGGCCCATGGATCCCAGTTAAGAATGTCTGTTTTATATGGTTCAAAGTGGTCCAAAAGAGTGATTTCCAAATTTCAGATAAGAGAAATGAGGAAAAAGAGCAAGTTTTTATAATGCTAAACTTATTACACTGATTTTTTTCTTTGCTTTTAAAATGTTCTTTTGATGGGCCAGCCGAGTGGCTCATCGGTTGGGAGTTGACTTGGGAGCCCAGGCTCTGAGCAGCAGGGCTGCCGGTTTGGGTCCCACACAGACCAGTGACACTGCACTCCCTACAGCTAAGATGGTGAACAACAGCTCGACCTGGAGCTGGGCTGCCGTGAGTGGCCGACAATGGTGTAGGCTGCAGTGGGACTGCAGTGGACTGCCGTAAGCTCCCGTGAGTGGCCGACAGCCAGTGTGAGCTGCTGTGAGCCTCCGTGAGCTGCCGTCCAATGGCTGGTGACCCATCTGCCTCAGCCAGGAAGAGCGCAATGATCACAATACCAACATGGGCCAGTGAAGCGACGTCCTCCACAACTAGACTGAAGAACAAAAGGACAGCAACTTGTCTGTTCCCCTCCCCCAATTCCCCAATAAAAATGTTTTAAAATAAATAAATAAATAAAATGTTCTTTTGATGAAATAATAAAAAATGGCAGATGATTTTTTGTAAATGTCTTTATGAGATAAAAATGAAAAGTTGGCAATCCTACTGCCAGTTCTCTCACCCACTCCTTTTATTGTATTTATTGGTCTACGAAGTCCAAAACCTGGGACCCATTGGTTAAGGACACCATGACAAATCCAATGAGCCATAATATCTAGTCCCCCATAACAGAACATGAGGTTAGTCCATTTATCTACTCCTCAGGAAAGGTGGCCCCGTTCCCAGTCCAGAGCAAAATCCTGAGCAGTCTAAGCCATTATGGAAACTCCATTGTCCAGGCAGAGGTTGATTTACAGGATGGAAACATCATTCAGTCTGGCCACTTGAACCTGAAAAGGATGTGGCTGTGATTGGGTATCTGATGTCTTGAAATGCCAAGGACACCCTGCCACTACAAGGGAAGTCAGCTTAGAAGGTCAGCAGAGTGAAAAGAAGCAGAGAACCTGGGTCCTTGATCACACCACAGAGTGACCCCACCACCCAAGAGTAGAACCACCACTGGAATTCTTGCTATGTGAGATAGTTCCTAGTTGTTTATGACAGTTGAGTTGGCTCAGCTGCTTTGAGTTCACTTGCAGGTGGAGTCATCCTAAGTGACCCAGGTAGGCACTTGGGGAAGATTTGAAGGGGGCATTACCTCTAAAAAACAAGTTGCCACATCAGGGTACTAAATGAGCTTGCTCACCCCAGTTTATGCAACCCTAACTCAAGACATCCCCTTATATCTTGCAGATATTACCTCCTATGTAGACCCCAATCATTCCTATTCTTTCAATTTCTGGTGCCAGATCTAGCACAGCTACTTCCACTCTTGTTCAATCTACAAGACTGATGGGCATCAGTCCTCCAACTGCTTTTCCTGCTCCCACCTGGGCCTTGTCCAAAGAGGAGACAAAGTGATTTTGTTTTAATGCAAATTAGTTCACATCTATTTCCTGTTTAAACCTTACAATGGCTTTCTAGTGCATTTAGAATGAAGAGCAAACTTGTTACCTACAAAGCCCTACATATCTTGGCCCTCCGTACCCCTCCAGTCTCACTGCGTCATCCTTGCCCTTTCAGCTCCAGCCACACAAGCCTCCCCCACCACTTCTCCTTTGTGTAGTTAAAGCTTTCAGACCCTTCAAATCTCAGCTCAGCAATCACTCCCTGAAGGAAACCTTTAATGACCACATCCTCCACCAGGACCAGATCTGGCCTGCACGCTCACAGCACCCCATATAGGCTTTCCTAATATTTAACACCATTTTCAATTATTTGTGTGATTAGTTAATTGATGTCTTTTTCCCCTACTAGAACGCAAGCTCCCTATCTTGTATTCCCAGCCCCTAATAACAGAGCAAGTATTCAGAAAATATTTGTGACATGAATGGATGGATGTTCACAAATGGTCACTGATACCCCTGGGAAGTAGCTTGTGCTCAGGGATTATCTGGCTCCATAAACATTACAAAGGATCCTTGTTCACCAGCTCCGAGTGTCCTGCTAGCAGATACAGCAGCTTTGCACCTAACTACTCCCTCTCTGCGCTATGCAGAAGGTGAGGGAGCTGTATGTTCTTCTACTGTGCTCCCAAGGGTGAATCGAGTCTCTACCCACTCTCTAAATCATGGAAGAAGACATTACTGCTGAATGCATGTTATGGACTGAATGTTTGTGTGTGTCCCCCCACCACCCTCCCCAAATTCATATGTTGAAACCCTAACTGCAAATGTGATGGTACTAGGAAGTGGGGCCTTTGGAACATAATTAGGTTTAGATGAGGTCGTGAGGGTGGGGCTCTCACACTGAAACTAATGTCCTTATAAGAAGAGGACAAGGGCCCGCCGAGTGGCGCGTTGGTTAAGAGCTGGCTTGGGACGCCAGAGGGCCCCGGTTCGGATCCCACATATGAGGGCCAGTGACACTGCCCTCTACAGCTAAGATGCTGAACAACAGCTCAACCTGGAGCTGGGCTGCCGTGGGTCGCCAGCAACGGCGTAGGCTGCAGTCCCTGTGGCAGTGGGTTGCCATGGGCTACCATATGTAGCCAGCAGCCAGCGTGAGCGGCCAGCAGCCAGCGTGAGCGGCCAGCAGCCGCAGTGAGCGGCCATCCAGAAGCCAGCGACTGATCTGCCTCTCCCGGGAAGAGCGCAATGATGATGCCAACTTGGGCCAGTGAAGCAACGTCCTCCATAACTAGACTGAAGAACAAAAGGACAACAACTTGTCTGTTCCCCTTCCCCCAATTCCCCAGCACTGTTCCCATCCTCCCAATTCCCCAATAAAAAAAAAAATCTTAAAAAAAAAAAAAAGAGACACAGCCCAGGAGAATGTCCTAATTAATCCAGTACCGTCCATCTCTTTCACCAGCCTTCCTGGGAAGGACATCCCAGATTGTTTACTGGGCTTCCTTTCAACACTAGTCGCTTTCCCCCATCCTGGAATCAACGTAGATGAATTTCCTCCTAATGGCATCCTCATCATACGGATACTGAAAGGTTATTTTGTGAGGATGTAATTCAGAAAGAGCCTCACATGCACACACACACATCTGATCAAAGAATGTATTCCTTGATGCCTGCCTGATGTTTCAGCTGAGCAGCTGCTTGACAACAACTGGGAAGAAGAGGAAGAGGAAGAGAAAGAGAAAGAAGAGAGAGAGAGAGAGAGAGAGAGAGAGAGAGAGAAATGTAAGAAGTATATGTGCTCAGGGGGCAACACAATCAATCACTTTGAAAGGGCGTACTTCCCCTGGAGAAAAGTTTTTTAAAAATAGGCAAGCAGATTTAATGAAAAATTCCAAGTTTATTGACTGAAATTTGTTGTATTTTCTCTCTATTTGAGAACACGTCATTTTCACATTAGGCAATCAGTTTATACCTAATGTAAATAGAAAACAGAAAAGCTTTTCAAGAGCTGGGCAAGTTTAGCAGAGATGCCTTGTCCTATTACACTGCAGAGCCTGCATCTCCTTGACTGTTGGCCTTGTGATGAAACTCATCCAGGCCCCTACAGGCTGAAGGCCCTTCTGTCCTTCTGCTGATAATAACAGTCACAGTGACAACAAGCAACTGCTCCCAGAATGCATCGCCCTCTCCTTTGGCTCCTTCCTCTGCAAAAGCTGCTCCTTCTGCCTGGAACCCCCTCCTCTGGCCCCTTTACCAACTCTTGTCCACCGCTGTTCTGGAAGGCGGCCTTCCAGCACCATCTCCTGCTGAAGCCTTATCTTGTTGTCCCCAGGCAGTTTTAAGAGCTTCCTCCAGTAGGTTCCAGTGGTACCTTGTACCCACTCCTGCTGTGACAATGATCACAGTGCTGTACTACCACTTCTAAGACACTTTTCCCCCCACATTTGTATGTTCTGATAGGTCACTGTACCCACTCCTGTTGTGATAATGATTACTCTGCTCATGTTGCTCAATTTTAAAACACATATTTTATTTTTCACATTTGAATGTTTCTAAAATCAGGATGTTTTGCAGCAATGTGTCCATTTAGTGCAGTAGTGTTTCTGTTTTATTTTCTCCTGAAAAACTGTTATTATATTGAGAATGAATCTTAAAGTCAAATAAAGAATGCTACTTATTCACGCGTCTGACCTCCCTCTCCACTATGAACTATAAGAAGCAGGCCTGTGTTCTGAGCCTCTTTGTATCGCCATCCCTTTGCAGACTGCTTGCTACGCAGCGATTGTTCAATAAATGTGGGGGGGAGGGAGGAATGAGGAAAAAAGGAAGGAAGGGAAATCTACATTCTGCAGTTTACAAAGCACCTTCATCTCCTGCTCTCATTTAGTTTGATTTCCCATCAGAGGGTACTGAGGTTTCTCCCCATAAGATTTTCCTTGGAACTTGCCTCTTTTCTGCTAGCTTGCTGTCTGGGCACTCACATCTGCTATAGATTGTCAGCACCACACAAGGGTCATCAGCCACTTAGGGCACGCACTGCAAAGGAAGAAACCAATCAGGAAGAAAGTCAAAGTCAGAGATTCAGAATCATCCTTCAATTCAGCTTCCTCAGCCAGAAGACTTTTCTGTGACTTCTGCCTCCCACAGGGAAGAGCTCAGCTCAACGACCTCCATCACATCTTAGCTCTTTGTTTGGCCCACTGAGCATGCCAAGCACTGGCCTT